GGAGTGGCTGGTGGGTTTGAACCACCAGCCTTCTGGTTAGCAGTCAAGTGCCTTAGCCACTATGCTACCAGAGCTCCCAATGGAATACTATGCAACCCTAAAGCATAGCATAGAATTGGCATAATGTGGATGAACTTGGAGGACATTATGCTGAGTAAAATAAGCCAGTCACAGAAGGGCAAATATTGTATTAGTCCGTTATTGTAAAAAGTCAAGGAAAGGTTTATCTATAAAAGGAGATTTTCTTTATTGGTTACCAGGGGTCGAAGGGGAGGGGAGCAACACTATTAGATAGGTAGAGACAAGTATTGATTTGGGTGAAGAGAAGGGCATGTACCAAATGTGAGTGACCAACATGGTGGCATTGAGGAAGAGGAAGATATAGAGAAGTACATGGGATATGCAGACAACAAAGCTGAACCCTTTTGCACATACAGTACTGCGTTGTCAGTGAAGGCAAACATTGGGTATATGGGTGGATAGATGGGTGGACAAGATGAACTATTAGGTATGTTTTTGTCAGGGGCAGTATGCCCAAGGCCATGTATAGGGTTGGAAGACAATGTTTCTACAAGTGTATTTGTATGTTCTGTTAGAATTCCCAGGTATATAGTAGAGCTGACAAGGGACAAGGTTGTTGTCACTTCTTGGGCACAGCCAGCTACCCAAAGGGAGTGAGTAGTTGGACCTGTGGGCTCGGGACCATAGTCGCAGGGGACATCAAACTCAATTGGCATAACCTACTACACAAAACATTGTTCCACATCCTTTTTTGGTGAGTAGCAACTGGGATCTTAAAAGCTTGTGAGTAGCCATCTAGATGCAACGATGGGTCTCTCCTCATCCAGAGCAAGGAAGAATGAGGAAAACTAAAGATTCATGGAAACAATTAGCCCAAGCCACTGGTATACCATGCAGTCCTCAGCCTATATGACTATGAGACCAGAAGAACTGGTTGGTGCCTGACTACCATTATCTACCACTTGGAGGGGGATCTATGTAGGAGATCCTGGATAGAGTGAGAGAACAATGTGGGACAAAGCTCAAATCATTAAAAAAAAAAAAGGATCAAGGATCAGGTTTGCTGGTCTAATAGACCCTGATGGAACCACTGAGACTATGGCCCCTAGCTGCCCTTCAGGTCTGGAATGGAACCCACACCTGTGGCTTCCAGCCAAACAATAGACAGGCTTATGAGGTGAACCTTTACACTAGGTAGATAACACTCCTTGTTGAGAACAATCATGGGATAATAGAAGGTCTGTGTGTGCACAGGGAGACAGCTCAGGGGGCAGGAGTGCATGGAGGGAAGGACACAGGGAAGAAGTAACTATGGGGAAGAAGTAGGAGGGGAGCTGTTGCATTGTGGTAAATTGTAGTCAATGTCATGAGAAAAAGTGTATGTGAGCTGCTTTATGGAAAGTGAATTTGCTCTGTAAACTTTCACCCAAATCACAAATAAAAAAAAGAGAGAGAGAGAGAGAGAGAACATGCTTAGCAATATGATAATCACAAGAATTTCAATATATTAAAAAATGTGTTTGAGGTAAATATGATCTGGAAATTCATATGATATCTGATTGTTCCTATTAATATCTAAAGATCCTGTTATTTCATATGTAATTATTTTTTATTTCTTTTTTCTTTCAGGTCTCTTTTATTCAAAACCTTGTATTTTGTGTAGAAAGAGTTTACCGGGTGCCTGACTTTGGTGTTTGGGAAAGAGGAAGCAAATATAATAATGGTGGTACTGAGCTACATTCAAGGTAATTAGCTGATTTCTGAGTGTGTTTTTTTTTCCCACTCATTTAATGTATAGAATTTGAGTATAAACTCAAAGTTAGATTGCAACTGTGGTGTCTATGTTCATTTTAATTTATTTTTTCTACATGATACAAATGAAATTCAGTTACAATTAAACAAAAGAATCATCTCTCAGTGCCCATAGAGTGATGCATGAAAAGATCAGGGAGTTTTCCCACCTCCCAATATGTCAGTGTATTCGTGTCAGCCTTCATCACTAATTGATGGCTTGACCTTTCTGCTCATGCAAGTCACTTTCTTTACCTGTTTGAAGTGATGTTACTTGAAAGGTCAAGTATACTAAAATTTCCAAACATCAGTTGTGTATGTATTGCATGGTAAAATTTCTGTTCCGTGTTATAGAACTGATTTTTTTATCCTAACCATGTAATTCTTCCTGTAAAACTTAATATCTAGTTCTTCACGCAAAACTTAACATTTAGTATCATCTGTAAAAGGTATCACCGACATCTTGAGTTGTGGTATACTGGGTTTGGATAAGCAATGTTGTTGTTGTTGTTTGCCGTCGAGTCGGCCCCGACGCATAGCGACCCCTCCTTGGGTTTCCGAGGCAGTATCACTACGGAAGTAGGATTGCCCAACCTTCCTTCCGAGGAGTGGCTGGTGGGCTTGAACCACCAGCCTTCTGGTGAGCAGTCAAGTGCCTTAGGCACTATGCTACCAGAGCTCCTTGGATAAGCAATAGTTGATGATTAATGTTAGTACTTTAGGAAGTTTCATTGCTCTTTAAAGGAAATAGCTTTATGACTGAATGCATCCCTCAATTAGGATTTCATCCTCACTTTATGCCCAAGAAGTCATCTTCTAAAGATAAAATTGGGGCCAGAGAATAGTTGCAAAAATAAGAGTAAGTAACTTAAAACATACACAAGACAACTGGCAAAAACCATTAGAATCAACTTTTTCAGAGCTCTGGGAAATAATTGTATTGGTTACTTCTGTGCCCCTCTGACAAGAGTATACCACAAATGGGATGGCTTGAAGAAACAGTTTATTCTCTTACAATTTGGAGGCTTTAAGTCCGAGTTCAAAGTGCCAGGCTCTAGGGGTGTGTGAAAGCCCCTCAGCCTTGGGCTTCAGCTCTGCCTCCTGCTCCTGACTCAGTGGAGCTAGAGGCTTTTCATCACTCCGCTGCTGGCTGGTGAGACTGACAAGCCCAAGGTTGAAAAGTGAAAAGGCACAGTCCCGGTATTACAAAATCACATGGTAGGCCATTAATTCAAGTCCATTAAAAGTCCCAGGGTTGGCAGAGCATGACAGGTTGCTGAACAACCATGCAGTTGCATGGAGGGTTCCAGCGTGCCATAGGCTAGAGATCGTTCCCAAACTGTTTCTTATATGCAGGAAGCAGACCACAGACCCAAAGCAGCTACTGAGCTGCTCCAATAGATTCCACCATGGAGTTAATTACCAATCTCACCACGAGGAATAACTACGTTCAGCTGCCCAGTCACTCAACCAAGCCCAGCCAAGTTGACACACAACCTTAATCACCACAATAATCAAAGGTTTATAGCAACCAAGTTAAAAGATTTACAATAAACAAAGCAAATAATGCTAATTTTTAAAAAAAGAAAAATGAGCTTTGTGACATTTTAACTTGTCCTATTACTGTTTCTCCAGCTTAGTGGCAGTCTTAAAGACTGTCAGAGCCAGCAGGGTAGACCTTGTCCTCAAAGAGTTAGGGTTGTCGGTTTTGGTAATGTCTGGTGTCTCTTGAAGGACTTACACAAAGAGTTTCCCCTTATTTCACTTAGAATTCTCTCAGGCAGGGAAATGGCTATGGTGAGGGCATTCCTCAAAAACATTTAAAAGCAAATGAACCAGTCATTGCAGCCTGGGGAAAAGGATATGAGTTAGTTCAGACAATAGACATGCTAATAACTTCAGGAAGAAAAGCTGGGGAGTGAGTTGTTGTAGAGTAAGAACTTGGACAGCCTTGAACATATCCTGGCAATCTGTAAGGCTGTGTGCGTGCCCAAAATGAGACATGTGCTCACATAGGGCAGTCAGCTCTTGCTTCTGGTTGGCCTTCAGTCTTTGAGCAAACAAGAAGTAAATAAAAGTGCTCAGTCAAGTGTTGAAGACATGCCCCGTAAATGCACAAAGGTCAGCTTCTAAAACTGGTACCTGTTGTTGATTGCCTCCAGGTGTTTGAGGAAATCTGTGTCAGATCACTCTGACCACTAAGTTAATGGTTTGTTGTTGTTGTTGTTGTTATGTGCCCTTGGATGGGACCCTACTCATAGGGACCCCTCCTTGGGGTATCACTGCAGAAGGAGATTGCTCAGCCTGCCTTCAGAGGAGTGGCTAGTGGGTTTGAACCATGAGCCTTCTGGCTAGCAGTCAAGTGCCTTAGGCACTACGCCACCAGAGCTCCTAAGTTAATGGAGGGAGCATCATTTTAGTAACCACACAGGGCAGTGCATATACAGTGTTTACAAAGATAGTTTACCCACCCACTGCTATCAAGTCAAGTCTGGCTCACCCACCTGGTAGGACAATGTAGAACTGCTCCACACAGTTTCCAAGGCTTTAAATCTTTATGGAAGCAGACTGCCTCATCTTTCTCCCACAGAGTGGCTGGTGGCTTTAAACACAGTGCCATCAGAGCTCCTTAAAGATAGTTTACAAGTCACTAAACAAACAGCTACCACCCACAGCCAGCAGTAATTAAAAAAACTCTGGGAAGGAGGAAAGATCTAATTACTAGAGTCACCACATTATAATATCCAGCATTTCCAGTTTTCAATGCAAAATTATGAAGTTTGCAATGAGTCTAGAAAATATGGCTCAACAAAAGGAATGAAGAAATTAAAGACAGTTTCTTAGAAAGCCTAGACATTGGACTTAGTAAACAAAGACTTCAAATCAGTGGTCTTAAATATTCTCAAGGACCTAAAGAAAACCATGGACAAAGTACTAAAGGAACCAGGAGTATGATGTCCCACCAAAATGAGAATATCAATAAAGTGATACAAATAATAGTAAAGAACCAAATAAAAATTCTGCAGCTGGAAAGTACAAAAATTAAAATGAAAAGTTTACTAGAGTTGTTCAGTTTTGAGTAAGCAGAAGGAAAGCTAAAACAGAAATAAATAATGAAGAAATATGAACAGAGACTCTGAGAAATGTACAATACCATTAAGCCCACCAACATACAAATAATGAGAGTACCAGAAGGAGAGGGAAGAGAGAAAGTAACAGAAAGACTAATTCAAGAAATAATGGTGGAAATCTCAAATTTATTAAAATACACTAACTTTCACATACACGACGTACAATGAATGCCAAGTAGGACAAACTCAAAGACATCCACACTGAGATACATTATAATTAAACTACTGAAACCAAAGACAAAGAGAGTCTTGAAAGCAGCAAGAGAGAAGTGACTCCTTACATACAAGGGATGCTCGATAAGATTAACTATTTTTCACTAGAAACTATGAATACCAAAAGGCAGTAGAATGATGCATTCAAAGTTCTGAAAGAAAAACTTATCAAACAAAAATTATGTATCCAGCAAAGCTATCCTCCAAAAATGAGGGAAAAATTAAGGTATTCCCAGATAAAGGAAAGCTGGGGAAATTTGTTGCTGGTGGATTTACCCTGTAGGAAATGCTAAAGAGAGTCTGTTCAGGCTGGAATGAATGGATACTTGACAGTTACTTGAAGCCATAAAAAACTAAACCAAGCGGACCTCTGGTAGCATAGTGCCTAAGGCATTTGACTGCTACCCAGAAGGCTGGTGGTTCAAACCCACCAGCCACTTCTCAGAAGGAAGATGGGGCAATCTACTTCCATAGTGATACCGCCTCAGAAACCCAACTTGAAGCCATAGAAAGTAATAAGAAACACTGGTAAAGGTGTGTACATAGATAAATATGAAAGCCAGTATAGTTGTATTTTTGGTTTATAGCTCCTCTTGTTTTTCTGTATGAGTTTAAAACCAGAGCTCCCAGTGCATGAAATAGTGATTATAAATCCATATTATTGGACACACTCAAAGAAGCAATTTGTTAAACAACATAATGGGGACATAGAGTTATAGGAGCAGAGTTTTGGTATAATATTGATGCTAAATTGGTGTTAATTAAAATTAGATTGGTATAAATTTAAGTTTGTAATCCCTATAGTAACCAGCAAGAAAATAACTAAAAAATATACAGATATGATAAAGTAATAAAAAAGATACACTATAAAAAGTTAAACACAAAAACAAGGCAGTAAAGGAAGAAAGAAAGCAAGAAGGGCCTAAGACATATAGAAAACAAATAACTAAATTACAAAAGTCCTTATCAGTATTAATTATGTTAAATGTAAATATATTTAACTCTCACTTAGGAGGCCTTGGTTGGTGGAATTAATTTAAAAAGAAAAAAGAACCAAGTATATACTGTCTATAACAAAGTCACTTTAGATCCAGAGGCACAAATAGGTTGGAAGTGAAAGGATTAGAAAAGACATTCCATGCAAAGAATAATCAAGCAAGAGGAAATGTGGTTATAGTAATAGAAAAGATTGATTTTTTGTTGTTGTTGTTCATTTTAAATATTTTAACACATTTTAACAAAACAATATCTTTATAAAAATCTTTTTTCAAGAAGTATAATAGTAACATTTTTAACTTTTTATTGTGATTGCATGAAATTTTGCAAAGTAGATTTGTTTTACATTCAACAATTCATATGCGTTTTTTTGTGACACTGTTTACTCCTACAATTTAATATCTCGCTTCCCACTTCCTCCTTGTGTCCTTTCCCTGTGTCCTTCTTGCCTGTGCCTTCCTGCCTCCCTAGCTTTATGCCTATGCAAATGATGCCCTTCTGATCTCCCGTGCTTGATTCTTCTAAGAAGTGCCTCTCCCTGTTTGAGTTCTTCAGCTCATAGGCCTATCTATTGTTTGGCTGAAAGTTAGCCATGGGAGTGAGTCCAATTCCGG